TCTTTGTTATAAAAATCTGAATGTATCTTAGAGTAGCTCACATAATAAACAAGAGTTTAATTGTGTGTACATGTGCTGTGGTAGGAAAGTTTTAAATCCAGCATGATCTTAGTCCCTCAGTCCAGAGCCACGGGTACCTGAGCTGAAATTTGAGGATGTCTTTTCCCCGGTTTTGCCTTGATTTGGCTTAGGGACCCTATGAGCAGGGCTCTGAGGCACTGCTACAGGACTTTAATTTCTTACTCCTCTAATGGGAGGGTTTGGATAGAGGGACAAAAGCATATTCACAGAGCAGCAGCAATTAGCAAAACAGATACAGAATGTCAGTCTGTCGTGACGGCAGATCTAGCTCCCTGGGGTCATTATCTATGAATGTGTTAAAAAGGCAGCAGATGTATTTTGGATTGCACAGAGGATAGAGCAGCTTGTTATAGCACTTACACTTACTTATGTTCTGCTGGCTGACAATCTGCAGTACACATCCAGTGGACAGATCACCCTCACAAAATGCAGTGAGAAAGGGGTACCAACAGTGCAGAGCTGAGTGCTTGGAAGTTGGGAGGTGCCTGAGTGAAGGATGCCTGTGCAATCTGAATTCTTACATTCCTGAATAAATGCTACAATGGAGTCAATATGTTTTCTGCAGGCTCTTCTGACCTGGAGGGCAGGATGGCTTGTGCTTGGTAAACGAGCTGTTATTTCCATGTTTGTTCTATGCTCTCCTTGTTCTGGCTGTTACCTCTCTTATTTTCTTGGTGTCTCTTCAAACCCTGACCTGGACTATCCACATATTTCACGCATTTTTTTTTTCCCCTCTTCTGTGGAGTAGGAGCATGTCCTCCCCACACTAGGAAGTCATCCACAAAACTGTGGAAACTCTGATGGAGCAAGCAGTGTTAGCTTTATTTTCCTAAATGCAAGAGATACATGTATCTCCACAGATTTTAAGCACTTACTGTAATCTTTTGGCCCTGCTTTTTCCTGTTCTGTTCATCGATAGAAATTTGAACTCTAAAGATGGACCTCACTAACGTCTTTTAGAGGTCTTAGTGCTTTGTCATTACTGGAAATCCAGACCTAGAGCCTGAGTCAGCCAAGCAAACCTCAGCAGCACTCAAGGAATGATTGCATATGAGAAGCTTGGCTAAAATATCTGGGGAGAGGCAGGCAGAGAATTCAGTTTACCTGGATCTCTCATAGCCACCTCAAACATGACATGATGCTATATTCTCCATAATCCCTCTCATTTGCTGGACAAACCTGATTTATCTCCCAAGTACAAATTGTCTTGTGCACTGAAGGAGGAACAGATCCTTTGAAAAAAGGTAACACGTGTTCATGCAATTAAAGGATGTGTTGTATGCACAGAGGAGCTTTAAAGCAAATTGAGGTTGCAAAGCAAATACAATGACATAAGTAACATAGAATATGCAAACAATAAACTGACAGAAAAAAAAAAGAAAGAAAGAAAAAGAATTCTAATGAAAGATGGTTATAAAGAGTGGTTTCCAACAGCCAAGCTTATGTGGGACCCTCAGTTACCGTAAGTCATCAGCAGATTTCAGTGGAGCAACAGCGTTATACACCACCTGGGATCTGCCCTTTGCCTCTTGTTATTTCCTTGCATTTGAGTTCCGAAGAAGTGTGTGCAAGTTTGATTATCAACACTATTCTTCATTAGCAGACAGAGAAAATTAAACTGGGCTTCTTAATTGTTGCTCCTGCTGCAAAACTCTATGTGAGCATCTGTAATGATACACATCCGTCTTGTTGGATTTCTGATTTGGATGTCACATCTGCTTTTCATTGGTGCACATCAAATATTAATATCCCTACTGCAGCACTTAGAAGTCTTGCTGTATTAGGGAATTTCTGTCCTTCCCTGCAGCAATTACATCCTTTCGCTGCGTACTGTTTGCCGTTATCTCAGTATTTCTGTTTGTGGAAGGAAAATTCGGGTTCTTTGTACAGTTAGGTGGCATTCTTCATCTTAGGAAGGATTATTTCCTGCCTCGGGATCAGTGATAACTGGAAATAAAGGAAGAGGTGTTTTAGAAAATAGAGATGGATTCCAGCTAATAAAGATTGTATTAGTACTTTTTTTTTTTTTAATAAAAAACCTAAGGTCACTTGTTTTTTTTCCTGAATTGCCTTCATTACGTGGCACATAGTGAACTCTATGTTTTTCCCCACCAATCTCAAGGGCAGCTCACTCTGTAGAACTGCCACAAAGTGAAAAGTGGTCTGTTGCAGAGCAGGGAGCAGTGTGTCACAGTTGCTGGATTTCCCTAACTAGTTTTTCTTCCAATCAATAAAGAATGGCCTGAGTTGGAACAGGGAGGTAAGGAGGCAATTTATGCCCCAATTATCTACAAATCATTACTTTTACCATCTTTTAGGAAATATCTGTTTTCTTGTTAAGGTGCATTTATAATGAAAAAAAAAAAAAAAAAAAAAAAGCTTTCTGCAATGAATAGCCTCTTTGCAATAGTGCCTTCTACATCAAAGGTACCTCGCTAAGAATTGGTTAAATCTGAGCTGCTCTAACAAGCCAAATTATAGATTTAGTCTCTCATGAATATTTCTGCAACTAGAAAAACTTGAATGAAGCCAAAAGTTATAGCTGGAAGTCTACGGATGTAGTGAGAAAAAAAAAAAAAAAAAGTCTTAGTTCCAATATAGAATTGCTCATCAGTAGATAACAAAGAAGGAACGTAACTGCTCACATGACATGTAAGAAATATCTGTTTGGTCCTGGCTCCAATGATTTATTTTTTTTTAAATACTGAATGGTTTGTACAAGGTGGAGCCCTTCTTAGGAAGGGCTGAGCAGGCTGTGCGCCTTCAGCCAGGTCTGAAGCCTGGGGCTGAGCCCCGGAGTGGGGCATCCTGCAGCCCTGAGGCCAAGCCAGGCTCTGCCATTGAGCATTAGAGGTGTTTAATTGCGCTTATGCTTAACTGTGCCCATGCAGCAGTCCCCCAAAGTAATGCACTCGAGGTTTGTCATATACCTGCATGGTTGGGAGCAGCCTCTGCAACAAAGCACTGATGTAAAGGCCGGACACATTTTAGCCCCACTGGCTGCAGTGTGTGTGTAGACCTGAGGAAAGGAATGTGTTCACGTGTTTACATGAGAATTAAATTCAGCTTGGCCCAGCACCACCAGGGGCAGGACTGCAGCACTGCGAGGCAGCTCCCTGCTCTCCCAGCCCGGGCAGGCTTCCCCAGCCTAGCACAGCTGCAGAGCACAGAGATTCCAAATCCTCACATCCTCTGTCCATAGCAGTGGAGATGAAAAGAAGCTGCAAGGTGGGTTCAGGTACATATCTTGCTGCTCTGCTTTTCATAGTTATACCTTTGTCGGTTACACCTGATTTTGCTCTTAAAAACACAGTTGCATACACTGCTGTTACTTATGCATTTTTTAGGTCTCCTCCAGACACTCAAATACTTGCTTAATTGCAAGTATCTAATTTGCATATTGAGCTATTACAATTGAAAGTGTAAGTGCCATACACTGAAGTCCTCCATCTTCCTGTGCGTGTGCCTTTGTAGCTAGAGGAATGATGCACAGAGGTAGCAGGCACTTAGAGAGCAGGACAGGAATCCTGGGTCATGATAAGCTTGTCTTTCATTGTGAAACATCAACACAAGTAAAAATACTTTCTTTAAGGGGGTAGGAACGTGTATAGTTAACTGAGGGTAGGCAACATTACTGCCATTTAAGGAAATGACAATCAAAATATTTGGGGTTTAGTTTTGTGGCTTGTGCTGAATATGTTAACATCTGGAGTAGGTTTTGGAAATGTCACTTTCTGTACATTTGACTGGGATGTGTAGTTTAATGCTGATAAGGCCTCCATCTTGCTGCTGATTGGATTGCAAAAAGAAAAGATCGGGGAAGGTAATACAGTTTGACATAGACAGCATGAGTTGGAATTTCCTTCCCTCAAGAAATGCTGCTTGTGCTGATGGAGCTGTGTGTTTGTAACCCCTGGTGGCAGGAGCAGGGTGAGGCTCTGTGTCCCTGGAGTTGGTACACAGCACATGAATGACCAAGTTCGCTCAGAGTAACTATGTCTGTATGAAATATGTAGTGTGACACTTGGAAATTATCAAATACATTAGCTTTCTTCAAAGGACATCAATGGCAGGAAGAAAATAATTTATCCCGATTCCATTTTGTTTGCCTTCACTTTTCTGCACAGTATGCTATTTCCTCAGGTTCCTTTTTAGCCCGATAAATACATAATGACTCTGACAGAGGCCTGGACTCCTTCATTTCAACTACAAGCTGGGTCTGTGAAGGCCTCACAGAAGCACCCTTCCTAAAGCTCTTTAGTTTAAATGGACCTGGTTTTTAATGACGAGAAACACGGAGAGTAACTATGTTTTCTTCAAAACAAAGTGAATAAACAGAGCAAGCAGAAAGGCCAGATTCTGATCTCTGAGAGGGCAAGAGGGACATACACCCCATGCTTGTCCCAGGGCTTTGGAAGGTCTCTTTTGGTCATTTAGGCCCAGCCACAGCTAATGACATCCAGGGCAGTCCAGGCAGCTGTTTATCTAATTTGCAATATGTTTATTTGACTCTAACGTTTCTTCTGTTGGATCCAGGATTTCTGCAGCCTCTGGTCTCCACTCATTCCTTAAGTACCATGTGGTTTCAATTGTGTTAAACTGTTGGAGAGCACAGAAATTGTCTTTCTGATTTTCTGTTGATGTATGTCTTGGATCAATTTGGTGAATATTTGTATTGTAAAATATTGCTCCTCTGTATTTAACTGTCATTTACAGCTGAGTATCCTGGATAGTTGAAAGCCTTAGGTCAGGTGAATACCCATGCTGTTCATAATAATTTTTTTTTTTTCTCCTGACTAACACAAATAAACAATAGCATTTCTGTATTGACTGTTTGGATATCTTCCAGCTCCCCAAAGGACAGAAATGATCTTTCTTTTGCTTGTGTAATTACTAGCTTCTGTCTTACTTTCTGACAGCAAATGGGACCTCAAGCAGTCAGTTGTCTACACCCAAATCCAAGCAGTCCCCGATCTCCACACCTACCAGCCCAGGGAGCCTCCGTAAGCACAAGGTATTACGTTTCTTATACCTTACTAAATCAGTTTCTTCCTTGGTCTACTCAGATGTGTAATGCATTTAAGTAAAGTCCATATTCTCTTGAAGCACAACTCCTAAAGTTGAAATAGTGGAGAATTTGGCCCATTACCTAAAAGGATTGTTACTTTGGTCTATAGCAAGAAGATGAGTGCAGTCTGAACATTTACATGGGCTTTCTCATTTCTGTAGTAGCCACAGTGTTGCTTTTCGACTCTTTGAACAGTCTTTGCTTGATATAAAAATTGGAATTTGGATGTAAACTTAAGTACAAGTGAAGGTCAGTGGGATTTCTGCTTTAGTAATCAGAATGTACCTCAGCCTGAGCATGATTTTAAAAGCATTGCCTTGAAATTCTGGAAGAGTAATTAAAAAATTCTGGTGGTGGTGAGGTTTTGCAGTCAGCTAGCCACATGCCATCCCCTGTGAGCTAGATTGCACAAGCTGAGCTGATTTTGTTTGAGGATTATGGTTTACCTCAAAGCGAGGAGTGGTAGCAGAAGCTGAACTGCAGTTGTTACGATGGTGGCACAAAGCACAGAGAAGTCAATGTGAAGAATCCCCAGAAGTCCAGTGGGCTTTGGACTACATCTCTAGCATGAGGACTTTGGACATAGGACTGAATGGCATTGGGAGAGCCTGGGGTGGACTTTTGGCTTCTTGAAAATCAGATCCTTAAAATATTCCCAACATATGGAGAGGCTGTAGTCACTCACCCTTCCTTTAACAAAGGCATAGCTTAATCCAGATTAAATCATTCCCCCCCCCACCCAGGATTTCACTCTGGTCTCAGCTGCTTAGCTTGAAGTCTAAGGACATGCACCAATTTTAACACAGTGCTTTCAAATTTATTATTAATTTATAATCAAGAACAGAATCAAGCCCATGGTCTGCACTCAGCAATTGGTTGTGTGTATTTCAATGAAAGTAGTGCTGCAAACTGCATCCCTTGCTTCAGCAACCAATACTTTCTGAACACTGTCTCATTCAGGGCTTTGGAGATTAGGACTGGCTTTCTAGTAAAGATGAGTAAAGCTCACCTATAACATTTTATGTATGTTTTCAGCTGGTTGACTTAGGATTTTTCCAGTGAAGGCCGTAGAACATTTATAATAGATGGTGACTGCTGAGGGCAAAGCCAATCCATCTATGAGCTAAATTAAGCCAATCAGAAAACATGAATGTGGCATTTTAGGTTCCCAGAATATTCATGCATCATTGTTTTCCTCCCAGGAGCAATTTTCCACTTATGATGAAATCACTTTTCTCTTTTTCCCCTAAAGCTCAAATGGTAAATGCTTAGAATGAGTTCACCACAAAGTCATATTTTACCTTGTCTTATATCAAGATGGCTGTGAATTCCCTTTCTGTGTATTTGCGCTTTGCTTCATTTTGCTCAGTTATTCCAGGGGGAGGGGATGTGTGTGTGTGGGGGGGTGATGTCAAGGTTCAAAAAAGCCCAAAGAGAGCTTTAGTCCTTAGGATGGTGGTATACCTAGTTCCGTGCAAAACTTCAAAGAAGTGGAATAAGATGGTTACCCAGAAAGAGACCTTGAAAAAGGTTTATATTCAGTGTTTGATCCAATGCATATACTTGGGATTATGTTCTTAACCCTTCTGAATAATCAGAAATGGTGTAAAATAAAGAATAAATCACAAAAGGTGATATTCCTAGAGATTTGTCCTAAGGGTAGCTGTCAAATAAAGGTAAGACTTGGTATTGTGGACTTAAGTTCAGTGAGACCTGTTTAAGGAAAGATTCTGTGCTTTCATGGATGTACTGCAATGGACACATTGATCCAGAAGTGATAAAAAAATTCTTCTCAAACTTTTCATTAAACAGTCCTCTTTCTTTTGGTACCAAGGTGCACCTGCTCCACTGTGCAAGTAACCTGCCTTGATCTAACTGGATAACTATCCAGTAACCAATGCATGAGAATTCCACACTGTCCCCTCAGCTGCGCAGAGCTGGACCACTTGACTGTCTCCTTGTGCATGACCAGAAGTGGAAACTGATTGTGTGAGTTAACATTTTTTTCTTTCTTCCCACAGGACTTGTATCTGCCTCTGTCTTTGGATGACTCTGATTCCCTTGGAGATTCCATGTAAAGCGACACGAAGATAATTGTCCATATTGCGAGCTATGTTTAAGATACAGTAGAGTACTTCTGCCAAAATAAGCAGATAGGTGACTGGTGCTTTCAAATCAGACAAAGGACACACAGTTATATGTCATTTTTTTTCTGTGATTTATCCTCTGTGCCACAAACCAACACTTGCCAGTCTATAGAGATAGAGGGATACCATTCTTCTAATAGGGATGCAAAATGGATATTGCCAGCAATTTTGGGCCAGTATGCCAACGATCCTGTGTATTTCCCATTTTATTCTATTATTTCTTCTGCTGCTGCAAATATGTAATTTTCCTAATGATAGTAAAGTAGCTCCCCCTGGTATGGGGCAAATCAATTTTTTGCTGACCAATTTGAAAGCTCAAGTAAAGCACATTCTATTCTTTACCTGTCCAAACTGCCAACATTTGCTTGCTCACCTGCTCCTCATTTGCAGCTCTGATTTTAGAACCTGCATACTAACTAGTACTGTTTTTATTGTTACAGGGCAGGAAGGGAAATGACTTATTAGTTTGATGCTTAATATGCCAGCAGAAGCTTGGACGAGTTTAGGAATGATTGCATGAGACGCTAAGTAAGGTTAGTGCAAGAGTGATTCTTCAGATATTGAAATACTGGGATTTGTTAAATGATTAATCAAAAAAATAAAAATAAAAACCAAAACAAAACAGTTTCTGGAGCTGAAGAGCTTTCACATATGGTCCAAAGACACTATTAGCTGGTAACAAATTTTTATAATTACCCTATGGTATCTCTCTATCTCTGTTTATAACAGTAATGCCTTTTGAACAGCCAACACTGAAAACACTGTGAAAATTTGTTTTCAGGTCTGACATCCTATAGGTCGCTTTTTATAGCAAAAAAAATCAATACACTTTTTATAAAGGAAAACCTTGTATCTGTGTTTTGGGAGTAAGGATTCAAGCTCCTTCTTTTTTATAAAAGCTGGTAATTTTGTTTTGTTTAAAAAAACACATTCAGAAAAATGTACAAAAAAAACCCAACCAACAACTGCAGAACAGTAATAACAACAAATCAGTTTAGAAAACTTGTCATCACTGCCAAAACAGACACTTGTAGGGGAAAAAAAGTTAATTCAAAATATTGAATGTTTTGATAGTTTTTGTAATGTTTAAGACTACGTATTTGGTTTTTTACACTTCAGTATTCATAACTATGGCCAGATTCTCTACTTATATAACAAATAGAACTTTGTGGTGTTCAAAAACACGTATTTTAAGAAACTCTTCTATCTGATAAAAGCAAACTTATTGTATTTAGAGAAACTTTCGCTTTTATTAATCAGTAATGACTCCTACAGAATGCAAAGTTCATCTATTCACGCAGGGCTGGTGGTTTTTACTACGCCGAAGCTTTGTCATAGGCTAGCTGGCATTGCCTCTCTTTCTCATGGAATAAGCTTTCGATAAAACTGATTATTACAGAACTTTACTTAAATGAAGTCCGTGCAATCAAATCTTTCTTTGTTGCTCTATTTGCCTTTGTTTCAATGTATACACCTGCTCCTTATTCTCTTGCAACCCCTTGTGATTAGAATGAATTATAATGTTGTGATGTTTGATGCTATATGAATGCTGGGTTGTTCCCAAAGCCACTCCACATTTTGTTTGCTTGCACTGCTGGTATGAAACAATCTGTGCAGGCTGTGTCTTTATATGTGATGTTACATATAAGGCAACTTAAAAAAGATGCATCTGAGAGAGGACAGAATCGGGAATTACCACGGGGTAAGAGTTATGCACCAAATTTGCACCCTGTAGTTTTAGTGCATGATCATTTACACACAGAGTTTTGCACAAGAAATCGTTGGTGCCCACAAATAACTTCATTGAATTGAGTAATTTGCTGACTATGCGACTGCTAAATGAACATTTCACCTGTTGTATATAGCATTCTGGTTTCAGTTCAAAAGGCTAGAAGCTCATGTTGAAGCTCTGGAGTGTGTGGGGGAAAGGATGGTATTGTGGACCAAGCTTAGGTGCAGTAGTCAGGACGCCTTCATTCGAACTTTGGCACTCCTAGATTTAGTGTCTGGACAGGGGCAGGTCTCTTAGTAACTCTGTGCCTCAATAGGTCTCTCCGTCCCTACGGGGATAATACTGCTCTACCTCACTGGGGGTTGTGAGTCCAAATGTTGGTTAACATTTGTCAAGTGCTTTCAGATCCTCTAACAGAAGGTGCTCAACTGTTTTGGGTGCAGATTTGGTTATGGGTGCTAATTTTTGGCTGTTTAATCTGCTAGGTGCTACTGTAGACACCAGTCTTGAGAAAATATGGCTTTTAAAGTACCAGGATATCAAAGGCCAAGGTTATGCCAACAATATTATTCATTAGAGCTTTTGTCTTAACAAAAGCTTTAGTGAGACAAATAATTTAACATGCTTTTACCCTCGCCTCTGTTCTGCTGATGGTAATCTGAATCTCTCCCCAGTTTCTGCCCTTCCAGGGACCCTGACTAGTAGTCATGACTCTGCCTGTTAAGAGATGATGGACTGGGACTCCAGTCGGAGGTGTCACTTAGTGACACAGGCTGTTCCCTTCACAGCCAGGGACAGCATGTCCTGCCACCTTCCTGTGAGCCCTCCCTAACCCAGGAGACCAGCCATGAAATTAGATTTAGGTTCTCTTACTATTCAGTATAGGACACTCACCACAGGTCCACCAAGAAAACCTAAATCTTTGATATCCAAAAGCAGACTGAAGTGCTAGAGTTGATGGTGGTATGAAAAGAGTCCAAAATGTGCTTTCATCCAAAATCCATGAGTTCAGTTTGTATACATGTGAGATAAAGCAGGATGCCAAAGGGCGAATGAACCTTTGGATGGAAAGATGGTTGTTGAGAGGTGGTTCCTTTTCTTCCTGCCACAAGTAGTGTTTGGTTATTTAAAGATGCTCTTCCTTGTAGAGCATGCTAAAGAATGTTAGGTCTTCCTGAGGTGTACCTAGTGACGTATCTACAACCTGATCCTGCGAGTGCTGCCTTGGGAGTAGAGTTTTGTTTGCACAGGTATCATCCTGGGGCGTGGCTGAGCCCAGTAATTCCTTCAGGGGACTAGCATGGGAACTTGAAAAGGCCTAAAAGAAGAAGAAGAAAAAAGAATCTTCAGTGGGAGAAATAGCCATTCAAACCAGCAAAAGCCACAAAGAAAACAGGGTATGAGGTCAAACTCCCCAGTTTTAAAAAGCAATTTTCTAGGTAGAAATGCCTGGGCAGTAGAAGTCAGTGAGCATTTCAGCTGTAACATAGAGTTAAGTCTGTATTAATGCCAATATTGCATGAGTTCTTGTACAGAAATGCATGTGGAATGTAGAGTACATTCACCACTAGGTATCTTTGGCTTTGTAGGATCCCTAAGATAGATTTGAATACAAAGAGAAACAATGCACAGGCATCATACCTTAGTCATTTAAATATAGGTATAGCCCTGATTCAGGAAAGAAGTTAAAGACATGCTTAAATTTTAGTACATGCTTTACTCCTCTTAGTTTTTCACGAGATGTAAGCTTGGGTTTGGTCAGAAGGCTTTCCTGAACTGGAATGAATTAGGAATTAGTTTCAATATATTATAATAATTCCAGACCTTATGAGAGATCCTGGAGCACGTGATAGTAATTCCACCGTATACTCCAGAGTTTACTTTTTTATATTTTTTTTTTCTACTTTTACAAGCACATAAAACACCACAGGATATGAGGATTTGCCATATTAATTCTGCTATAAAAACCCTGTTTAATTTCCCTCATGAGGCTGCCTTTAGTGTTTTCAGAGATTAATTGAATCACTAAGACTATATTGTTTTAAAACAATACAGTATTTAAAAACAAACTGGAGAGACTCTTAAAGTGGTATGGAGCTTTGTTTCTTTGAAATTTACCTTTATTTATTCAATATCCAGTATATTCTAACAGATTTGCATACAAAACAGTAAAAACACCTATTTCAGACACATAATCATTAAGAGGGAATTAAAGCAATGCTCCAAGCACTGAGAGACTGATGTATTTCACATTCATACCTTCAGTGATGGTCTTGACTGGAGAACATGAGGACAATGCAGCAAAATTCTTGAGCGTTAGGATTTTTGTCACTTGTAAAACATTTATATTCTGAAATTTCTGAGTTGAAGTCCCCTCTGAGTTAATTCAGTTCTACCAGCTAGATAGCCAACCCAGTCTCCATTCCTTGACATAATTTTGAAAGAGTTTGGTAATGGAATTCTACCTTGGACCGCTCTGCAAAGGGAGGTGGAAATAGCTTTTGCTTACCATTGTCTGTGTTTCCAGTATCTGCACACAATTTACAGTCTTGTCAGAATGTGGAAACACTTAACTCTGTTATTTTCATAGGCAACAGAAAAATAATTCTACTTAGAAAAGAACTTCCACATCTCCCTTTCTCATTTAGCTAACACAAATATGCATGCGAAGAATCACACACAGTCTAGATGTTATTTCTCTCATTTCCTTGAACAGTGCTTTTGAAAGGAAAAAAGGGAGTTAGGACCAAAACTTGTGGCTTACAGCAAAACAGTGTTACACCCAGGCATTTCTAATAGGAAATACTGGTATAGAAGTGTTCGTTTCCTGTTATTGAAATGGATACTGATGACATTTTATAGGATGCCTTGTGTTTGCTTTTTCACGTCTTTGAGCTCAGTGCTGGTCTTATTGCAAGTTAAATAAAACCTGGTGAAATTTCTCTGTAACACCATGCTGAGTCCCTAAAGAGACATAGTTCCAGTGACAGCCATCCCTGGAATTGCACCCTCTCTACAGGGGCATGGTATGGACCTTACAGCATGAGCCTTCTTCACTGTAGTAAGAGCACGGGTGTATTTTGCCATTGACCTCGGTGGCACCCCACGTCCATTCCGGGCAATTGGAGAGTTGAGGCAGAATTGTTTTTAGAGAAAGGAAGAAAAGATAGCCAAGTAAATTAGGTATAAAGTTAGTCCAGAAAGTGTCTCCTCGAGCTAAGACAATCCACAACCAGAGAAAAGCTACAGAGAGGTGCGTTTACCACACACAAGGTGCTGATCATGACCAGGACAGAATGAAATGGTTTCTTTAGTGGTAGCTTCAGCTTGAAGTTATTTTTCTGGTTGCTGATGGAAGAAAGTCAAAATAGTATTTGGGACTGGTAATGTTGTTTGTAGAAATAAATGAACGGCACAGGATGAAGATCTTTTTCTGTTTATATAGACAGTGTGATGTCAGTCCAGGCAACAGGATTAGTGCTTTATACAAGATACCTTAGAAGAGGTCCAGCTGAAAGACCACCTTGGTGTACTGAGACCAAGGAGGTTAAGTCTTTAAGTGCCTTCCAACATGCTTTGGGCATCAGAAGCGGGACTACACGTGTGCCCAGCAAGGCCTAGGTAAAATGGCCTTGTCAAAAGCGGACAGGACAGACTGCTTGATTCCTGAGCCTTATGAGATGGTTAGCCCATCTCACACTTATGTAACTAGCTCTTGAAGGTGACTGTCTCCAGGATCATGGATTTCTTCTGGCTGATGCCTCTGTCCCATCCATATGAACCTGAGCAGGCCTCTCCATGCTATCTCAGGAAATGTGAAAGCTGAGCCCTGTGTCTCTCTACATCGATGGGGCTGAGCTTGGGTTCTGCTGCATCAGTCATCAATACTGTTATTCAGGTATTCCTCACCAGCCCTCTTTGCAAAAGACTGAGGACAGCATGCCCATAGACCCCTTTGGATTTTGTTGTTTTGTTTTTTCCCTCTGGAAAAAGACAAAAAGAGTAATTTCATGTTTTCAGGTCTGGGCTAAGCTGACAAAAAAAGAAAAAAAAAGTAGTGTCAACAGGGAGATGCTCAGAGACTGTAAGTGGATGGATGGAAAGGCTTTTTTCAGCAATGTCATTGCACAGCTGTTCTGACAGAACCCTAGTTGCAGGGTGGGGTAGGGGTTCTCCTTCTGCAGGTGAAGATGCAGAACTTTGGGGTCACAGACCACGATCCATGTGTCAGGACATTCTGTTTAGAGAAGGTTAAAAACACTGACACCAATTTTCATCCACTAGATCAACTTCGGAGCAAATGAGAATCAAACCTAGTGACTGCAGCGCAGGGATTTCAGAGCCATTGGTCTTTGGCATAACCATGGGCAGCTCAGTTCTCCTTGTGCCATGGTGTCCCAGTGGATAAAGAGCTAACCACAGTCCTTAACCTCTGTCTGTAAGGTGCTGTGCGATCAGCTCATACGAAGAGCTACAGAAGAGCTAGCACAAGAGTGAAGTCTGAAAATTGTACTAAAGTACATTATGGGGCGTTGTCTTTCACAAGCGTCTAGGTCTCTCGAAGCTGTGGTGTAAAAATGCTTCATTATTTTACTCACGGTGACAGACAGATGCACATTTCTAGTTCTCCCCAAACCCATGGAGGAGCCAGCAATGCTCCTGAGAGCAAGGCTACATCCAACAACCAAATTCTCTCACCTGGAGCTGCCACCTCTGGCCTGAATGAAGTCCCCTGATGCTCCTTTTTTTGTTGCATGTACATGTACATAGCAAGGGGCAATGCACGTTACCATCCCAAATGAGGGCCGTGGCTTTGTAAACGATGAACGAGTCTAATGATTTCAGGGCCTTCTACCAAGAAAACAGTGGGCCTGTTGTTGAAAGTTTTCTTATTTAGAAAGTGTTCATCGCCAGATAGCTTCATGGGAAAGAGGTGCCTTTCAGTCTCCGTTGCTTGATGCACTTAGTTCAGCTAAGCAGTTCTGGCTCTTGCTCTGTAACTCACTGAACTGTAACTTACAGCTCTGAAGCCAGTTTACAGCTTGCCTAGGTCTGACAGTTTGCCACTCTGACAATTGAAGCAGGAGGATTCCCAAAGGGAATTAACAAATCTTTGCAGCAATTAGAGTCTGTCAGCTGAAAAAGGAAAGCTGGCACCACTCGAGAAAGATGCCATGATGGCCAGTGTCACGGTAAAAAAAGAAAAAGAAGACTTGTTTCCAAGAGGAGTGGTAGGGGGCATTTGTTGGGAGATATTTACTGAGCGATGAAATGAGCTTTAACTTCACAGAAAATCAGATGGAAGGGAGAGAATAAGGCAGAGCACTGGAAACATCAACACCACTGATGAATGGGAATAAAAAAAGATGAGAGCCAAGAAACTTCAGGGAGAAACAAAAAGGGAGGCTGGGGCGAGCTGAGGATCTACAGCTTGGGCCTGGATGGAAAAGCAGCAGGGGTTCCTGGCTGCATGGTGAGGGAATTATTGCCCCTGCAGGTATCTAAGCCAGGATGCAGGCTGTTTGCCACAACACTGTGTGTCCCACTCCCATGGCAGAAATAAGGTCACACTTGGCTGCAGGCAGGAGATCTTGGTTTGAAGTTCCTCCCCTGTCCCTGTTTTTCTCCCCTGTTGGCTTGTGGATGTCCGTGTCATCCCTAAAAGGGTACAGGGGAAAATCCAGCCCTTTGATGAATGACAGCAGCAGCTGGTGGTTTGGTTTTATTTTTATTCCTCCTTATTAGATCAGAAATAGATATTAATCAGCATGCCCTGGCTCAGAGGAGGACGGGCCTGGCACACTAGGGAATTTTAAGACATGTATGAGAGAATAATGAGGGCATATCTGAACCTCCCGGCCCTTCCCATGGAGCCCAGCAAATTCTGGAAGAAGTGGCAACCCTCTTGCCATCAGGGTGATAAGCCAAGACAGGCTCATGGAGCAGGTTAACGTGAACTGTTGTGCAGGCAGAAGGTCTGATGATGATCTTGTCCATGAAATCCCTAACCACAGATGTGAGAGCTGTTGCGTTCAATAAATCAATAGGAAGGCCGTGCTGAACAAGCAGATTTGTGTTTAACACTGGTTTTCTCATGAGATCTTTCTCCTAAATTCAGCAGAGTTACAGTGCTTGTGAATTTAATCCTAAAAGGCAAAACAGATGATTTCTTTGAATGCATTTTTTGCTGTTTACTCTCAGACTTTTTATTCTTTTTTTTTTTTTTTTTTTTTTTTTTCATAATGATTGCAGCTCTTTGCTTCTGTAGATTCTCTGACATTCTCTATACACAGGTGAAACCCAATACACCTAATTCTCTGTTGCTTAAAACTGGCAGAAGCTCCTCTGTAATTAAGGGAGCTGAACCCATTTGGTCCAAGGTTGGTCTCCTGTTTCAAAGATTGATTACTGTCAATAATTCTCATGTGATTGATTAGTTAAGTGCAGATTCAGTTTCCTGGCTGCAGACTTCGCGAGAAAATCACATTGAACCCAGCTAGAAGATGATCTCTTGCATGAGTCTCTAATAATAAGTTATATACGGGAGAGATTTTGTATAGTTTTAATGTTAAAGCTGAAATACTTTCATTTGTTGAAATAACATAAAACTTTTAAGATTGGAAATTAAACAAGGACAGTAGCAAATTATGGTTTCCCCTGCGTTTTCTAGTCCGAAAAAGCATTTTCTTTATCTTGCTTTCTCTTGCTTCAGTCTACTAACAGACACGCCCCAAGCCCAGCAGATTTATGGAACTAGAAATAGCATTTCTATTTCTTCCAGTATTTTTCCACCCTAATCCTAACTAGTGCCAAGCAGAATAGAGATTTATGGTTGGCTTGGTTTTTAGAGAAAAATATCACCAAAAGTCTCTGAACATAAAAAGGAAGGTTCAGTTCCTTTTAAGTGACTTATCTAAACTCAAGGCTGCTTTTGATTCTATCCAGGCTGGTTCTTCCATCTCTGTTTGCAACTAACACATGCCTCAGTTATATATACGAAATCAAGATTAACTTGAGTTGCATTTGAACAGTGGGGGTTGCTGCAGAACACAATGACTCCCCTGGCATGTGCAGTCAGGCTGAAACATGTTGGTGGCTCTTGCTCAGGGTGGACCCAAACTAAGTCCTGGTTCCAAACCCCAATTTTCTGAGAGATGCACGTGCAGAGTCAAACTTAGGAAATGTCTGTAAATGAGCCAGATGGATCCCCAGCTGGGGTCCAGGCCCACTTCTAGAACTGACGATTTTTACATTTGGAGAATCCCTGTGAAACATTCAGTGTTTCTGTGTTTTCGTTTTTGCTTTGGGAAATTCCAGCGTGTCTGCTTTTCTCCATCTGCTTCCAACCATTGCACAGCAGGTATGGATGGGTCCTTAATTCACTTCCCTTTGCTGGTGGCAGTTGAAACGTGGTGATGCTCCGTCTCCCTGTCATGCTGACCACACAGTCACCGATAGGTTGTAGAACAACACACGGCTTTATTTTATTTTATTTTATTTTATTTTTTCTCTTTACAATGGAAGAGCTTTTTCCAGATTTAGTGTGATGTCTAACAATGTGTCTCCTTAAAAAGAATGTCTAGGGAACTAATTGCACTGTTAATTGGTGTTATAGATAAGGTGAAGCAGAAGTATTGAATGTAAGAACAAGAAAGCCTGTGAGTTATAATTACATGCTGAATTCTGACATAAAATGTTGTTAGTTTGCTTCTTATTTAAATGATGTGTGATCCAAGCAGCTTTACCACCGTGGCAGTACTAGTACAGCTGTGATTATTGATTTAAACACACCCAGGGTCTTTTAGAAAGAGGAAACCTGTGTAGCCAGATCTGTTCTCTGAACTGATAGCAAATTCCCCTCCTTGATAATCTGTATTTCATGACGCTGTCTAAGCTAGAAGCACAGGAAAGGAGTATCAGCTTGCTGACCTTGCTGTTACTGGCCTTTGCCTATTTTCTTCATCACAAATATAATCACAAGCTAGGGTAAGTGGGTCTCATCGCATAAGCCCGAGCTCTTCACGCCACACTTCTCCCAAGAGCATGCCCGGCCTTCACGCACGGCCCCGCGCTCTGCAGCTCTGGGGGAGCCGCCAACCTGCCCAGAAGTTGTGTTGAGGGAGGGAGATAAGCAGCTGAACTGGAACCTGATCGTGGATTACTGTCTTAGGTCATTCATTGAGTTTGTATGAGTTCATCATTAATAACGAAGCTGCAATATAATATAACTGAGAGACCACAATGTATTTTCTATTGTCATTCAGTGGGTGGGGGTTGGAGGGGCAGCTGGGTTTAAAGTTTAGCTGGTATACTTTAAACTCCGTGTACATAACCTTGGAGGACACATGGGTGGTATGGGTTGAGTTGTTATTTTGTTGGATTGGTAAATTTCCTTTTGGTTTTGTTTAAATAGTAAGGTATTTAATTAATGACATTGTACAAAGAGCTATTAATTTAAATGATGCTTTTGTTCTCCTAAAACGGATCTATCTACACTTTCTTTTTGGCAAGCCTGCAGCAGTGCTATACATAGCATTATGTTGACTTTTGTACTTTGGGGGAGTGTGTGGAAGGGGAGGGGAAATGCTTTTCTCTTCAGACAAATAGTGTTGCCCATAGTTAACTTTCTGCTTGGATATATACCTTGATTTCCCTTTACTCGGAAGTTTTATGTGAAATTGACTTAAAGGGACAGAACAAGCAGAGGTTATGCCAAAAGATCTCAACTGTATCATCTTGTAATATATTGCAGCTTTATGCCAATGATTCCTTGCTTACCTGTACACAGTCCATGCATGTTTTGAACTAATTTTGCATTCTCCATTTGTGGTGAGTTACTTAGCATTTTAACCACCTTTTGTGCCATTCAACTTGTACAGAAAACATTTTTATTGACGTTTTAAAGGGAGGGGGAAGAAAATAAAAAACCCTTCTGCTCCCTAGTTGTAGGTAGAACTCGATTACTTAGCAAACAGATGTAGATGAGTGGTTGTAGTGTTAGAAATGTTAGCTTGCTCGTGAACAAGCTTTTGAGAGTAAATGCATGGTCCTGTACCTCTCTTCTCTTAATTAGCTTTTCCTTTCCTCCTGGAAAGATTGTCTCCCCCTCTCTCTCTATTATTCTGTCTTTGTCTCTCTCGTGGTTGTAAAGTACAGATTTGGGCATAAAAGAAATTGTATACAATGAGGTTTGAAAAGCAGTTCTCAACAGGTTCTCTTGGGGAACTTATTTCTCACAGCACCCTGCCTTGGCACTTTGATTAGACTCTAACTTTCAAGGTAAAACAGATGGAGAACAGTCACCTGTTGCCTCTGCTTTAACTGGGAAACAAGTTAAATCCTTGGAAGTTTGCGTCACTGGTAAATGATGAGATCTTGCTGATCCATTGCAGCTGAGGCACGTGGCACGTGGTGTATTGGCCGTGGCTTTTGCTCCTGGTTGTTTTAGATGGGACTAGTCCCACGGCCCCTGATTTGCGGAGTTTGCACACACTTTTTGATTTTCCTGGTTACACAGCAGAAGGGGGTGGGGGAAGATATATAGGAATTATGTTGTTATGGGTTCTGCAGGCAGCTCCTTCTTCTACACTCCCAAGCCCTGGGTTGAGTATGCAGGGCTTGTTATTTAATAGCTGTGGTTCTGTTGGCAACGGAGGACAGAAAACAGTCAAAGGCTTGGTAAAGACGTGGTCACTCACAATGATGTAAGAAATGGACTTCAAAAATCCCTCAAAACCCTGCCACAAAACCACAAAATCTACCTAGATCCACACATCTATTCCCCATGCCTCTTCTCCTTTAGCAGAATTTCCTTTTGTTAGAAGATTTGACTTTCTAGAGAAAAAAATCCATTTTTGTGAGGTGTTGTGAACTGTTTTTAATACTTGTAATAACCATCCCAGGTCTGAGTATTCTTGTAACGCAATGCCATGCAGCAGAGAACCTGTCCACTTTATAGCTTTGCTCTCAATATTTGTTACTCATTGTTTTCTCATCTAAATGTACATTTGCAAGATGTGTGTAATGTCATTTTCAAAAAATAAAATTTGGTTTCAATATTTAGGCCGATAAAACCTTTCTGATGCTTTTATTTGGCAAGTGTGTGTTGACTGTGGCTTATGAATTATAGCAGCACTTGTTCATTTTGATATGTCAACTTCCCTAAATCTGTCCCAGTTGTGTTTGCCCAAAAGCAGAAAAAAGACTGGGGAGGAAATTTGACTGTCCTGAATTAATCAAGACCCACATCTGCCTGTCTGGAAAAGCCTGACCTGTAGAGGGCCCATCATTCTGACTAAAGGGACCCACTGCAGGAGATCCAGAGCAGCCAAGTGCAGTCCTTTCCTTGCGTGCAGCACTTCGGTTAAAAAAGGTGGATTCAAACCAGCAAGACAGGGCCCTTAATCTGACCTCTTCCATCGTATCAAGGTCTCAACAGCAAGGCCTGTTCAGCCTCACACTAGCTTCGGGAGGTTTGGTGAGATTTGAGAGAGATGTTGTGTTTGTCCACACAGGCCTGAAAAAGGTCCAAGTTCTTTCACATCTGCCCTGTCAGAACCACAGTGAAGACAATAACATTCTTCCTTGTTAGCCTGAAAAATGATAATAAGGCTCAGGCCTCCTCATTTAATTATATAGTACAAGCCACTTTGCTATCTGTTTCTGCTTCGCATCTGCAGAATTTGAATTGAGTGTGCTGAGCCAGCTCTCACCATCCCTGCTGTAGATCAGGCTGCCATGAAAGAGCTCAAGTTCTTCCAACGTTTCATGCTTAGATTGGAGACCTTTATACATTTTATTTTTTTTTCCCCTGTGGTCATTGCATTTCAGCCCAAAGAGGGCTGTGCTCTTTGCCCTCTACATCCAGAGGAGACCCTATGCCAACTGGCAAAACAGCATCAGGGCAACCAATACATCGCCCCAGTTGGCCAGTTACTGGCACCCCTTTGTCATTATTGTGCCATGCTTGGATGGGCCAGAAGCAGCACACACAGTACACTACTGTTTGCAATGAAAGACCGCATTAAAAAAATTGCAGTTCCCAGAATAAAACTGGTAGAAAAAAAACAAACAAAACAACAAAAAAAAACACAAAACACCACCCTGAGAGCAGCCTTTTTTTTGAGTGCGCATAAACTGAAACTGAAGCAAATGTTAACAGAAAGGCAGAAAAAGTACTTGAGAAAATAAATGCTCTTCTTGTGTCTTTATGCATCCCAAGAGCAAACAAAACACACTGCTGTCTTTTCTTGTGGCTAAGTGTTAGATGAGGTCAAGAAAAAACGTAAGAGTTAGTGCTTCTGCCTATGGAATATGTGCTGAAAATGGCAGGTTTAAAACCCTCCTATAGTTGTATGCATCCATTGCAGCTATTCCAGGGTTCTAGATAGTATTAGGCAGAAGTCTGGATGGGCATAGTGTTGTACCAACAACCAGCGCTGTCAACCAGTGGAAATGCTGCTGCTGTCTTAGCACAAATCCCACTGACACGTACGGAATTACTCCAGGTTTACAGACATGTAAACAAGAGCAAAATTAAATCTCCAGTGTCCAGCCTTCCTGCTACAACAGCCCAGATCTATACAGAACTGTTTGTCAGGTATCCATGAATATAATGTTTCACCAGAGCAGCAAACCAGTGTTTGCTTCCAAAAGCTCTAGGTTGAAGCACGCTGGCCCCATGTGGTGTCAGTTGTTAGGACAGAAATAGATGCTTTGGCCTGGTTGGGAAACCTTTGGCTGGTCTCTTGACCTAATCTCCATTACTCGATGCTCAGCCATGGCTTGCTGTACAATATGGTTCTAATCAAAGAAAACACACTTTTTGCCTGTCAGACTTGCCAGCTGCACATGATCCAAGTTTTCTGTGGTCGCTGGCCTTAAATTCCAGCCCAAAATATGGCAGCCAGACCAAGGGGAATAGAACATTGGCTGGGCTCTGTCAGCTTAGCTCTGTGAAATGCTGAACACAGCTGTAGCATCAGCTCTATGGCTTTGGGCTTACGTGGTGATGTTTAATCTTCTCTCTTCTGTAAATAAAACACCTTTAAGAGTCAACAAATTGAGATCTTTTACACAGTTTCTCTGGCTGCTTGAGCTCTGTCCTTTGTCTTCCACAGCAGCCATCTGCTCTGCTGCCCCAGCCTTTCTCTCAAGTGCACCTAAACTTCAAAAGTACATTTTTTGTGCAAGTTTCACCTTTACCATAATGCAGGTCCTGCACCCCTACAAACAGATGGAAGAAAGAGTCCACTGGAAAAAAGAGTCCACTGGAAAAAGTGCCTTTTTTTTCCTTTTTTTTCTTTTTTTTTTTTTCTTTTTTTCTTTTCTCTAAAGGAACCAGATCCGTAATATTTAATCTTACACCCCCCAAAATAAATAAGAGAAGTCCAATGATTTGAAATTCTTAGGCTTTCAGCCCTGTATTTGCAATATTGCTAACATAAGTAATACTCTGTGTAAGTAAGACTCACTTACTCAATAAGTAAGTCTCTGAGTGGCGTGTTGAATTACAGATGGTCTCCTTGTGTTAGGCCTTAGAAGATTATCAGCTGTTTATATGTAAGGGAGCAGAAGTGATGTTCTATGCAGTATGCTTTCAATTACCACATACACGTCTTTGACACTGAAAATAACAACAATCACTCATTATTAATTTGTATTTTTTTATTCACAGGCAGGTCTACCGAGTTTCAAAATTCCCATCAAAGTTTTACACAAATCTGTTCTCCCTGAGATCCCAGGAACACCCCACTTCCCAGTGACTGTGACTGCTCCTCCCAAACCTGCACGTAGCACGTGTTAAATGATGCAAACATTTTGGTTCAGTTTACGTTGCTCATTGGGGTTATACTGTAGAATAGTAAGGCACCAAGTACCTCAAATCCCATTGATCCGCCTGGGGGTAAAAAGCATGAAAGATTTTGCAAGACGTGTTTTACCTTTGGATGGAGCAAGCAGCAATGGGGAACAGCTCCAGTGAACCGCTCACAGCCTGAATACAGCAGGACAACTGGAGCCTGCAAAGCCCCCGGGGGAGCACCTCTCACTGTAGGCAACACGGTGCTGGCCCGGTGGGGCCATCCCCTCCCGCTGGCCTCCCTCATCCCCACCCCTGCCCAAACTGGAGTTTCCAGGCCACCAGATACAGCCGGGTTCTGCCGGAGTGGTTTGTCATTGTGGAGAAGCACCTTCTCCCAAGGACATTCTCCTGGTATGTTCGAGTCCAGCTGGGACGCTGATGTGGTGCAAAGTAGCGGTATACACAAGAGACAGCAAAGGATGCTAAATAAGTCAAAATAAATCACTTGTGCTGGAAGCCCACTTATTTTAAGCATAGGTCTTCCCAGTCAGTGTGCCCAAATGAGTGTTGGCAGTTGAACAGCTGTTTGGAAAAGATTTGAGTTGTTTTCTTCTGACAACCGTGCTCCAGCCACGATGCGTATGTTATCTTCTAATTCAAGTGTTCAGAGTGTGCTTTTAGCACCCAAATGCAGTCATGAGAAGTGCCATTAAGGTGGTTAAACTTCTGTTCTTCTAGCCACTGTGACAGAGTGACAGCCAGGAACGCAACTGGAGCTGAGGAGGAAAAGGTTATTTCCGAAGGTCCCTGGCAGCACGTCCATTCAGTGCCACAAGCTGCCACTCATGCAGCACTGAGGTTTCACAGCAGTTTCACTGCTTCTAACGCTGTGTGGAGACTGACAGTCAATCAAAGAAGGACTTTAGATCACTGGAAGTGATGCTCAGCATCTGTGTTCAGATCTTGGTCTTCCTGAGCCCAGAACAACAAACTGTGAGTTTGGTCTCTTTTCACTGTATGCCATAAAATCTTGTGATTCTGAAAGTTTCTCTCAGAGGTGGTAATTGCAGGCTGGCTGCTTGCTGATCTTCAGGCAACACATCAGTCATCAGTCAGTGTCTTGTCGACCTTCAAAACCAGAGACGTCCAAATGATATGAGCACTCGGTCCTCCTGGGAGCTGCAAAAACACATTAGTGGTCTGAATGCCCCGGCGGCAGCACTTTAATTATATCAGTGCTTTATCAGTCCCATTCAGCTGACCTGCATCTTTAGTTATCTTAAAAGCTTAAGAAAATATGGATGTAGGAGACGTGATTAAGAGCCTGTGTACATCAGACAGTGGGATACAGCGCAGAGAGCTGAGCTGCACAGCCCTGCAGCTCTAGTTTGGGTCCCGAAGGCAGCACGGGTGCATTGCATGGCTGGCTGCTGCAGCACCGCACTGATGTGGCTACGGTGCTCTTGGCACACAAGGATCACTGTAAAACTGCTGAGCCTTTTGTCAGGGAGCACCAGAGCAATCAAAAGACCTTCTTTCCACAGGCAGGGGAACACAGGGGAACACAGTTGCCCTCCCCTGGGAACAGGAGGAGAGACAAAGATGCCCTTCTCTGACATATACGGCCCCAATTCTGCTGCAAAACAAGGCAGCAAAGCCAATCTGAGCTTGTATTAACACAGTGCAGCAGCCTGACTGTAATAAGTAGAAAAATTCTCAGTGAAAATAGGAATACAGTAACAGTTCACGGCCAAATCTGTAATCAGTCTGTAAGTTATGATTCTTGCAATACTGCTTAGAAAGCTGACCCAACAGGATGCACTAATAGGGTCTTGATTAATAGCTTACCAGCCTGGTCTTTGGAGAACAATGCATTTGTGCACTCAGGAAAGAAAATCTTTGGAAGACGCTGTTCTGTCACAAATCGTTCATGCTTTAATTAAGAAGTCCTCATCAGGGAAGAAGATAACTATGCGATATGTGAATGGAGTAACACAGCGGATCTGTAATGAAATCAACTCTCAAATGAGGTCGCCCACCCATGTACTACTGTGCGCATACAGCAGGAAGATGAGCCAAATGCGGTGAGATGAGGCCAAGCTTTTGTAGCTCTGCAAATGAATAGGTTGTCCTCTGGGTGGGAAGGGGAACTGAAAGAGGAGGCAGTGCAGTTACATGCTGGAGAACTTGACAATGAGGCCCAGTGTGTCCTCCTGTGCCCTTCTCAGAGCTCCTTTTAAAGGACACTTTTCTTATGCTAGCATCTCATACTAAGCACTCCAGGACAGGCTCCCAGGCACACATGGACAAGCACAGCATCCCCCTCATTGCTTATTCCATTAAAGTATACACTAAAGAACACCCTTCTGTCCCCTTGACACAAATTCAGATAGAGAAAAAACAAGCCTGCCCTTAATATCTTTGATCTTGAAACCTTAATGACTCAAGACACTTGCTGCTGGTCAGAAAATTAGAACCACTGTGATAAAAAATGCCAGGTCACAGAACAAGGAAAAGAGTAATTAGAGCACCAGGCTGCAACTCGAGAGAACTGGTTTCAAATTCTGACACAGCCACAGGTTTCTGTGGGACATGGGGAGTCACCCACGGTCAGAAGCAACACTTTTGGCAGATGCCCAAAGTGGGCTTAGAATTTCTTTGGGTTTCAGCTGCTGGTGGGAAGGATAACCACTGTCTGAGACTCTGTATAATGAGTTTTACATGTGAAACTAAAGGAGCTGCTGAGAGTTATAAGTACTGGAGATCACGAGCACTATCTGTTGAGGAGCTGGGATCTGAAACTGCATGAAGACAGGCTTGGACCTATTTCCAGTGGAAAACTTGGACCTATTTCCACCTACTTCACTTCAACGTAACACCTTGGTAAATAATTTGCATATCATAGTGGCTGACGTGATGTAGGAGGTTGAAACGTATATAAATTTATCCATTAACGTAAGAGAGCTCCCAAACACAGAAGCTTGGGATCCTTTCAACCCTGGGTTTAACAGTAACGAGAAAGGAAAGATTAGGCACTGTGTTTTACCTCTGTTAAATAAAATAAAGGCATTATATGGTCAAGTCTTCAAGGTAAAACCCTCATGGGCTCCACAGCAGATGTAAAATGCTATGAGCACTGCTAGCTCAAGTGTCCTAACTGCAGCGCACTGCCCTGGGCCTCTCTGATCCCCGCACACGTGTGGGAGCGCAGAGCTGCGCCACGTGCTCAGGGTGGCTTGGGGAATGTTTCTGCAGCATCATCCTACAGTGAGCGGTGGAGGAAATGTGACCGCAGCCCCTTCCAGCTCCTCCTCATGTTAAATGAGTTTGTGATTTAAGCCCATTTTAGAAGGGCTTTGTTCCTAGAGGTCTCAGGTGCTCCGAGAAGGGAAAACAGCTCAGCCCGAGAGCTTTTCTCATGACCCTGAATCAGTAACGGCTTTATCCAAATCCCACTGAGAAACAAGAGTGCTACGGGCAATGTTTTAAATATTTAATGTTTACACAACACTCAGAATACAAATGGCAATTCAAAGAGAAGGAAACTCCTGTCTTCTCCAAGCTCCTCAGGAACATTTTTCTCCATGTGTTTTTCAGCGTGACTGACACCTGCCTACCCAGCCCTCACCGGCTGTGTGTCGCGTTTCTCATGTTCCTGTGCTAACACCTGTCCCGCTGCCTTTCCTGCGAGCTGCAGGGCGCTCACTGCTGGCGTGCGAGCCCCACACGCACACAAACACCTTCCTCACCACCCAGGGGTAAAAAACCTGCCTGAACAGCAGGACCACAAGAAGGCAAAAAGGCTTCCCCTAAGCCGTGGCAGGAGTGCCAGCCTGAGGTTTCTTCGCCATTCCCCTGCCACCTTCCTCTCCCTGCACAGCTGCTGAGCGCCCATACTGGGTCCCAGCGCCCCTCAGCACCCCGAGCTCCCCTCAGCCACGAAGATGGCGGCGGGAGGCGCCGGAGGCGGGACGAAGCCGCCTCGCCTGCCGGGGAACCGCCGCGACCGCTGGGCGAGGCCGCCACCTAGCGGGCAGAGGCGGCCCCGGCCCCGCTCTGCGCTTCGTGCCGAGCCCGGGAGGCTCCCTCCGAGCCGTGGAGCTCAGCCCGAGCCCCCGTTTGAAGCCCCCCTCGGCGGAACAGCCATGGCAGGGGCTGGGGTCGGGGTTGTGGGGGAGCTCCTCACGCGGCCCCTGTGCCGGGCACAGCCCGGGAGGAAGCAAGGTGGTGAAGCCGCAGCGGTGTGCCTGGCTGATTCACAGCTGCTCGGGTGTTCCACATTTCCCCATTTTCCTGGGAAGGTTTCCCCAGCACCGAGCAGGAGGGAGCTGAACGGGAGCTCCCTCAGCTCCCCCTCCCCAGCCCCGTTTCCAGTCAGGGTGCTCCGCGTGTGCCCTCATGGTGCGGTGGCGGTGCCACAGAGATGGCTCCTGCACCACGTTTCTCGCTCGGTGAGGTGTGTGCCATGGGCTGCGGCTCTCTGCAGGGTCTCAGCAAGGGCTGGGGATGTGGCCATGGCTGCAAAGTTGGTTTCCTCACAGTGCTCAGCAGCTATTTTGTTGTTTGGGCCTCTGACGGGCTCACAGGTAAATCAGGATTATGTCAATTCGGTGAAGCCCTTGCACCTTTCCCTCAGGCTCTGCCTACTCTGGAGCCATGTTCCTCTGCTCTTCTTCATGAACCTACCCCAAAAAATAGCTGCAAACGCCCACCTCAGATCTGGATCCCCCAGGGAATTTGGGGGATGGCAATGTTAACTTGTTTTATCCCTACTTCTCTTAAAATCATCAGCGTTTCTGAATCAAGCCTTATGTTTCTAAAGGTTTAGAAATTCTGTAATTTATGCAGTTGGAGGATAAATCCTGCCCTGTACACCAGCACTGCGGCCCCTCAGTGGGCAAAGGGCTCCTCTGAAATCTGTACGGGGGGAAGGTGCAGCCCCTTCTGTGCCCCCTTCACAGGGCCTGTGCTCCCTTTACCCAGCACTGTGCAGTGAACCATCAGTGTGGGGCTGACCCCATTCCCCTGCCGTCATTTATGCTGTGGAGGAAAGTGTGAAGGGACCTGTTATGAAAACCCCACGACACAAGGGATGAGTGATGCAGATGCAAAGTGCTGGTGTTGAGCAGAATCAGCCCTCAGCTGGATATGCAACTTTGTGAGCTTTTTTTGTGCGTATTGGTTAGTTTTCAAATTCTGCCTCTTGGGTTTCTCTCTGTACAAAACTGCCTAAATTAGAGAGAGTAGAATAAACATGTAGGATTTAAGTAGAATCTCTGCTGGAAACCACCTAATGTTTTATTAACAAATTGCCCCATGCAATTAAGTGAATAATAGATGAACATAGCTCTGGTGGGACGAGAACCTTGCAGTGGAGTGTCTGCAAGGTGACAGGCAGGCTGCAGGCATCTGTGATAAATGTTCATGAGTGGGGCAAAGCCACTTTGACACCTTGCAGCCGTAGTAGCCCTTCTGACAGGCATTAGGACAGCTATTAGTGCACAGCAGTCTGGAACTGGAGTGAACTGTGAAACCAAGAAGGCCTTTGGCATGAAGACAACCTTGCTATCACCTCCTTCTTTGCGAAGAGAGTCCCCAGGAGTAACTAACTCTCCTGGATCAGGTTTGGGTGGGGAAGAGAGAATCGAGCTTGGTTCTCGGTAGCAGTCCCTTGTGGTTATCGGCAGGCATGTCACAGACTGCCCAGATGGAGCAGGGATCTCTGTCCTCCTACAGCTGTGAGGGGCTGTGGGTCAGGCACAGCTGGCCAGCAAGGCACTGATCCGGCCAGGTGCTGCAGGGAGTGAGGGACGATCACTGCGGCTGGGCTGCAGGCCCGTGGGGTGCTGGAGTTGCTCATGGGTGTGGGGTAATGCAGACAGCAAGGTGCGGTAGGGGAGGGCAGGCATTTATGGAAGCATGACTGGATGTTGAGCGTGTGCTGAATGTAGGAACGTGTGAGAACCACTGCCTCATGATGGAGCAAGTTCTCTTGCTTACTTGTGCTGTGCTGTGTCTTTACACAGCCCAGTTCTGCGCCTGCTGAGGGTGCAGGAGTGAGTCAGGTCTGGCAAGCAGCAAGTCTAGAGCAGGGAGAGTGCAGGCACTGCTCTGCGGGATGGTAGCAGGCTGTGCCAAGCAAGAGACAAGGAATCTGGGGATGCCTAGAGGTGCAGCGCGGTTACTGATGTGAACCAGCTCAGAGGAGCGTGTGGTGATGGTGCTCAGGATACCTCTGACCAGGAGACTAAAGGCTGCCGGCAACAACAACCAAGGATTCCAGGGACTGTGCTGAATGCCAGTTTGAGAGACCTCTTTCCAGACCGTGGCAGTGTCTCTGTGAGTGCTGTGCACAGCCCCACTGAATTACAAGCATTTTCTGCGTGGTTCTGCAGTGAGAGTAGAGCTGTCTGCCTGCCCTTGGTTGCCTGCCTGTGTGGCTCATCATGCTTCCTTTCTAAAGCAATTTTTGTTTCTAATGAGACTTCCAGGAGAAGCTCCTCCTCAGCCCAGACAAATTACATATAATTCTTGGATTATGGCACCAGATTTAATACACAGAAAAGTTCTCATCATTTTGTTCCACAGTGGATCAAAGGCAGCTACTGTGAGAACATGTCTATATAAGCTGTGAAAATTATCAGCTCACAAAAAAGGAGAATTTCGTTGTACTCAAGTGTGATTTTTCATGTTCTTCCCTCAACTGTGCAAATGAATCACAGCATGCGTGGTATATATAGGAGGACGTCAGTTTTTTATTATGATTTAGACTCTAGTCTGCTTGCTCAATCACAAATTGAAAACACATGGCTTTATTATGTAGAGCTTTTTTTTGCACATTAAATGCTAGAACTGTAGTGGCAGATTCCAGGGACTTTCTGTCCAAAATTGAGCATGCCTTCAAAAGGAAGTTGGGTAAGTGTTTTATAAGAAAGCAAACAGTCCTGCAGCGAACCTTACAGGACATAGATTTATGGTACTACTTAACGCTTTGTCTTCAGAGTGTTTTCTGCATGTAACTCTTCCCCTGAGACCCAAACTCCTTTAGGCAAGTAGAAGATTTTTTTAATAGCAGGGATTGGGAGGAGTAGACCTATTCAAAAACTGAGATTGGCAATGCTAAAACGGGAAGGATTAAATGGAGGAAGCAAATTGGGGAGAATATTTACAACTGATATGAAAATTTGCAATGAATTTTTAAATGGCACTCGTTTAAGAATTGGCCTACATTTACAAAAATATAAATAAAAGCTCCATAAAGGTAAAAGTAAGGATTTTACAGTCATAAATGAGAAAACGTTCATGTCAAGTTAATCTAAATGAACCCAAAATTAAATTAGGGATTATTGGATTATGCAGAGAAGTTTGTTTCACCAAAACCGCTTTTTAATGGGAATTTATTTTTGACCTTTCTTTTTTATTCTGCCTCAGCACAGGAAAATGTATTATTTTTCCCAAGTTCTAAACATGAACTGATGTATTTTCCTTTATTAGCAGGCTACAAGAAGCAAGACTGGACAAGTGCTTGAGTGATCACGGGCAGGTTTGTGACGTCTCAGGCATCAGAGAGCACAGCCCAGGAGCAGCTCAGCCTCCCGGATGGCTCAGGACCTCTGGAGTCCATTCTGTGTCTCTCTCAGACCAGACTTTTTCCCCATTCAGGTTGTTTTCTCCTCTGAAAGGGAAATGGGAATAGCAAAATCAGGTGCATTCTAGACTCTGAACAGTCAAGCCAGGAGGAAGTACTCGGCAGTGTGCAAGAGCCACTCCTGAAGCTGCTCCGGGCTTGCCACAGCGCTGAGTGGAGGGCACAGAGCCACCTGTTGGGTTTTGCTGCATCTCTTGATCTGCAAACCCCCATCCAACTGCAAGTCCCTCAGAAGCCCTGTGTGATGCTTCCCCGTGGTCTGGACGGGCCGTTACCAGAAGGGACGCACTGAGGCAAAGGCATTGGCACTGGCTTTATGCAAGTGGAATACAGTGTGCAGCCTAATAAGGAATATCATGTTTTTCATGATTCGCATTAATCTGCCCTGTTTTCCATAGAAAAAATGCCTGCAACTCTTGCCAAGCGGCCTTGTCTCGTCTCCTCCTTTAAAAATTCGTTCCCGGCTACAGCAACAACTGCAGCTAAGAGTTTACCGGGAATAAACAAGGCTCTGCATTTTGGGTCAGCTCAAATGGTTTTCCGGTGTCCCTCGTGACTCATCTCTGGAAGGGTCATCCTGAAATACACCCCTCTACTGATGTGATCTTGGTACAGCCCAAAGAGTTTCAGGTTAAGAAGCTGAGGGGCTCTTTTTCTGCAGGAGTGATTCTGGAGTTTGGTGTGCCTCAGAGCAGGACCGACCTCAGCCAGGTAAGTGCCAGAGGTATCGTGTAAACTTGTAGCTACTTGATGTGCACCAGGATGAGCACTTTTGGACTAGTAATTAGCACAGTGAGAAAATGCTTTCGTCTACTGCAGTAATGTATATTTCTTTCAGAACGTGGCATCTTGATTGTGTGCTAACACCGAGCCAAGCACTCATTGTGATTTATTGCAAACCCGTGGTTGCTCTCATTTCTTCTGGGATAGGCAGTCTAATGCTAACGCAAGTATTTTCTCTACAGGCATCATTAGCAGTTACACCAAATAAAGGGGCCAGACTGATAAAGCGTGCTTTAATTTCAGTGCTCATATAATTCCATTTTTCAGACTGTTTCTGATCTTCTGAAATAATGTCAGTGCTCACTGCAGACTCTTTCACTGTGAAATTCAAGTGGATATTTTAGTCATTTGATTTTATTTTTGTGAAGGAGAGACTTTTATATCGTGTCTAAAATAGCAGATAAATGAAGACATAAAATAATGGAGGGGGCTGATAGGGAGTTACCCATTAATTTGCAATCCCAGACCTCTTCTGAACAACCAACTTTTATGACAAGGCAGAATGGAGAGAAATTGGAATGCTAAAGAAAGTTGTTTCCCATGGTTTCAGCACAAACGCATGGCTGGAACAAATCGGCTGACGCTGTTGTGAGCATTTTCTTTACAGCTTGTTATAGATCTCTTGACTTGATGTAACAATCAGCACCTATCATGTAATTTCGAATTCAGAACTGCAATTGTACCTCTCTGTAGTTAGCTGCAAAGCTGGCTGGTTTTAGGGCTACAGTGGATGCCACTGAAGGTTCTTTGTTTTAAACGTATGCAGGCACCTGTGCAGTTTGGAAAATCCTGTCTGCCTGCATATTCTTAAAAAATGAGGCCCATAGCCACTTTGCATTGTCGCTTGAAAATCAGTACAAAGAGATGTGTTTTATTAGCCTAGCTGAAGAATCCAGACAAAGGTCAGAGCCTGTGCAGTGTACACAGGCCCAGCCAGGTCTCCTTTCACGAGGGAAACAAAGTGGCACCAAGATTAAGCAGGTGGCAATTTCTGTCCTGAATCAGAAATGATCACCCTGAGCGTTTGCTGCAGAGTGCTGTTAAAAAGTAGCACGCACTGACTGGGTAGCACAGGGCTGTCCAGAAAAGCCTTTCTCTGTGTTGATCTGTAAAGCTCTGCGTTCGTTCTCCTGCTGTCACCCCGGCTGCTCGGAGTCAGAGTCCCATAGAGCCCAGATGTGTGGGGTGTTTTGAATGTCTGAATGCTGGCTGAGCTCTAACAAGGGGCTTGGACATCTGCATCGGGACGTAGGCAGAATGCCGGTGCCTTGAGGCTGAGATGTGGTCAAAAAACCTTAACTCATGCTTAGCAGGACAGAGCTGCTCGCTGCCTTGAGGATTTCTAGTTGTGGCTGCCAACCAAGGCCCCTTGAGTAGGGGCAAGTGTGCAAGAGACCTTCCAGGAATTTGCTCGTTACTTGTGGGCAGGTCTGGGAGTCACATGAAACACAGTGGCAAAAAACTCCAGTGTTTCTCTACTTTGGTTGGAGGCAGCGGGGCAGTTACACCACTTCTGCTTGTGCCAGATGGACTCCTTCCCTCACGGGCACAGCCACCTGTAACGCAGCCTTCCTTAGCGGTTCTTTGCTCCACCTGTGCAGCCCCAGCACCTCCAGCTCATGCCCTCAGCCCCCGTTGCAGCTGTGCTTCTCACCGGGGGAGGAGTGACTGCAGCTTGCAATCAGCCCGCTCCAGAGGAGCACCGAGTGTTCGCGTTGCCTGAGCTGTGACTTCAGCACTGCTTTCCTGAACAGTAAGAGCGGGGTTTGCCTTTCTCTGACCATGAGCTGACTATAGGAGAGAGGGCAGGATGATGTTTCAGCAGTGCATTTGTAATTCCTCATTTATTGCTCCTGCAGCTGAGCGATTACCACCAACCTGTGGCTCAGCACCTCCCACGAGTTACTGCTGCCATGTGCCAGCACTCGGTGACTTGGAGCTGAGCTCTGTCCCCTCGCCACCACCACACAGGCAAGCTAGCGGTTGGACAGGCAGCTCCATGCAGGGCTCATGTTTAAGAAGGACAGGGGGAGCGGCGTGCAGATTGCAAACAGGGAAAATAAATGGCAGGATTCCTGGTGGAGCCCCTGTTCAGCTCCTGAATCTTTTGTAAAGGCAGGCTTGGTCTTGAACCTTCACTTACCCTCCTGAGCCATCCTGCTGGGCGTAGGCTTTGCAGTACGAGCTGCATCGTGGCTCCCAGCTGAAGTGCTGTCTGAGGTCTCCCTGTCCTGCTGAGTCCTGTAGAAAAGCCTAGCTGAGCACTATCGAGCTGCAGTAGAAGAGAAGGAACAAAGCTTTGGTTTGTAGCCAGGTGATTCTGGAGCTCCTTGATGCCATCTGTGAAAGCAAACAAGTTGTTGCCAGCCCTGTTCCTGATGCCTGGTTATTCTCCCCTGAATTTCTTCTTAGAAGTGATGGGGTGTGCACGGATGTTCTCAGCTGAAAATGTGAAGTTTTCTCTCTCGATTCTAATACTAAGTATGGCAAAACAGGGAGCAGAACAATGCTGGCACCTTTCTGTGTACATGAGAAGCAAAATGCTCGTGTCTCGTTCCCACAGTGAATTCCTGAGCTGAGCTGGACAGAGAGACTTTTATACATCTGTTAAAGTACTGAGTTACAGAAACCATAAAATAGTCAAATTAACCTTATTTTTCTTGAAAAATCCAAAAGCTGAATGAGAGAAGGGGGCAGATGTGACACCATCCTGCTATCCCAAAGCACCCAACAAAACTTGGTGCTTCATGCAAGCAGGCAGAGTGCTGCTGTGAAACAACTGAGCCCCTGGACCATGGTTGTTAACAGCAGACCTGGGAGCTGTTAAATGTCCTGTGCAGCAAGTTTGATGTGAACTGGATGTGCTTTTACTTCTGCAGTTGCATATCAACACAGCGCAGCTTTAACATTGACGGTAAGCTTTTATATAGGCTTATGCAGAAGAGCAGAGGATAGATACCCCATCTACAAGCCTAAAGCCTGCCAGTGCAGCGTGTGTGTTGGAGTGCTCAAGCAATACAAAGGAGCACGTTTCTCCAGTAGCTCTGTTTGATGTTATGGGCAGTGATGCTTCTGATGCAGCGGTAGGAAAGCGATGGCCAAGATCACGAAACCGCAGTGTACACAAAGTGGAAGTTTTGCAACTGCTTTAAATTCCCCTGCACTCTTACTACAAATCTGCAAAGTCACTGCTTTGCGAAGTGACTGTTTTGTACAGAATGAGAAGGAAATAACCTTTTCCAGCTGGAGTCCTGGAAGCGCTTTCAGCTTTATAGAAAACCAGTTCAAAGTCATTTAAAACTTTTGGCTGCAGGGCTGCTTTTTTGGAGACAGTCCCTGATTTGATTGCTCTGAAGCAACCTAGGAGTTTGGAGGAGGAGATGTTTGCAAGAACACTAAACAACTGTGTTTGCAAACAGTTAAGCCCTTGAGTGCCTGTGTTGCTGTCAGCCCAAACAGTGGCTCTGAGGCTGCGTGACAAAGCGGGATGGAAAGAAGAGAGTTTGGAGCTGGGAGCTTTTGCACAGTGTCAGGGCAGGCTTACAACCCCAATCTCAAACAGGGAACCCACGAGCCAGCTGTCGGTTGTTACTGGTAATGGTAATACCGCTGTTGGCAGGAACCAAAAGCAAGCTCAGTACCAGCAAAGGAATAAAAATCCTAAAATTATGGCTGTACCCCAGCATGGTACAGTGTGTGTACCGTGGGGACACCCCTACGTGGCCACCCCCAGCTCCTGCAGCAGCAGGGATGTGACCCCAAGGCTGGGGCACTTCCATCTCAGGGGCTGCTTGCTGGAAGGAGCAGCGTCTTGTGCTGCCGTGGAGTTACATGGCAGTGAGAAACTTACTTTGCCCTTTTAGCCCTCGCGCTGTGATTCTTTGAATCCTGAATCCTGCAGTCAGAGCAAACAAGTGGCTGCGTGGTGATGCGGAGAGCCGAGCCCCTTGCTAGACGAGGAGCTCCCTGTGGAGCAGAGGGCTCTCTGCAGCTGCTTGGCACCGCTCGCCTTGGAACCGAAAGCTGAGCTTCTTGTGAAGGCGAAGCCAGCCCCGTGCAGCCCTGCGCCCCTCCTGCAGGGATGGCAGTGGGAGGGATGCTTTCTCCTGCCGGCGAGCTGCCGAGGGGTGTGCTTGGCTTAACAGCTTCTCTGCCGCTTCGTATCCTGCTGGATTGTTGATTACACGGGGTAGCAGAAGTGGAGGAGGTGACTTCTTCTGTTGGCTTTCGTGTGCTTGTTGCACGAACATGAGGGCAGCCAGGGTGTAATTTTCGCTCGCCTGCCCGGACAGTTAGCCAGCCTGGCTTGTTGTGGATCTCCGGTGTAGCAGCTGGGGAAGAGACCGCTCAGGACAGGAAAATGTGAGTGTAAAGAACCCTGTTTGGTAGGGCTCTCCGGGCTGGGAGCAATGCTTGGAGCTTGTCCTCATACCTCATGAAGAACTGCGTCTCAAGTGAGTGCCCCTTCCATTTAGGGCTGCTCAGACTGCCAGGAGCTGGTGCTTGCGACCATGTCACGCGTGATTTAGCCACAGCTTGCTCGCTCCAACAGGGGAAGCATCTCTGAGTGTCAGCTGGGGGTGAAAAGGCAGTGTTGGGGTGAGCAGGGGAGGCAGGTGGAGCCTTTCTGAAATAGGGACCCGCAGGGACTTCACTTCGCTGTTGTGCTGAAGGCCTTTCTCTGAATTGCACTGGAAAAGGGGGGGCTAGAGAGAGTCATCAAAGCTCAGTGGCTGAAAGCCGAGAGATTGGGGACCTTCCGTACTGCTGCTGGGACTGAGGGGCTCAGAGGAACTTAGGGATCAGCTGTGAGGGCTCAGCTCAGAGACTGAAAAGGATGAAAGAGCAAACCCGGTATTTGTGTGGTCAGGGAAAGAAACAAGCACCAAAAACCTAAGAATGTCTGACCTGTAGAGCCGTTTCTTTTTTCTTTCTTCTTTGGCTGTCTCTTTCCCCTCCCCTCGAGCAGTCCCTTCCTCGTGCCAGAGCTGCAGAGGGTCTTCAAGGCGTGGTGCAGTATTTTAGGACCACGCTTCTCAGCCCTCGTTACTGTGCACACAGCTCCATGTCACATGGCAGCACAGGGAGCCCTGCAAAGAGCGGCTGCCAAGCCCTGCCTCATGTTTTCCTCAAGCACAGCTGCACATTGTGAACGTCAGCAGAACTGAAGGTAAAGCTTTGGAGGAGAAGGGCAGGGGGAGGCTCCCGCTGGGACCTTGAGACTGGAGGAGGGAGCGCTGCTGGGAGCTGTGATGGTAACCGAGGGGCAGCACCTGGGACCGGCTTCAAAGCTTGGGCCTCGCAGCAGGAGCCAGGTGCTTGCTGCTCGTCTCAGCGTGGCTGGGTTCTGCTGGGGGAAACCCCAAGGAGAGGAAGGGCTCGGCTTCGTCCTCAGCGCTCGGACTGCCAGGCTGTTGTAGAAACTGCCTTCGTCTCCTGCACTGTGCACTTCCCAAGAAGAACAGGAGAAAAAAAAAATAAAAAAGAGAGACTTCTATCATGTTTCGAAAGGTTATTTTGGGGCTCCTGCTGCACTGCAGTGGGTTTCTGCTAGCTCAGCAGATAGTGGTGGGATTTGTGTGCAGCTCCGGGTGTCGTGGGTGGGTGGAAAGCAGTAACGGGTCTGGCTGAGCCCCTCACGGCTCAGGCATTTGCTCGGGATGGCCCAGGGAGCCCAGAGGGGGGCAGCTTGGCAGCCTCCTCCTCCCATGTTAGCGTCCCCTTGCCAAGTGCTGCCTGGAGCCCAGGGTGAGCAGGCAGCGGCTTGATTTCGTGTGCTGAATTTGGGACCGCAATCAGTGCGCTGTTGCGGGACTGGGTGTGTGGGTGTGAATTCTGGAAGGGTTGTGTTGCAGTCAGCAGATAGAGGGGAGCCGGGGGGGTGAGCTCACTGACAGCACATCTCGCTGCATTAGGCAAGGACAGCTGAAAGCCTTATCACCCCTGGGCCATTTTAAAAACAAGCGTATCTCGCAGATAGGCTGGGCTTAGAATCTTAGGTAGCTCCTGGGGGATTTTTAATAAGCAAGAAAGCCGGTGATCGGGAGATAATCTGTATCCTACGCAGATTAGCTGGACTAATTTTTGCTTTTGTCCCTGAACTATCTGTGTGTAATTGACAAGTTGACTTCGAAGAACTGGTTGGAGGGGGGAAGCAAGTCTCTCTTGTGTCTTCTTGGGAGGACATCTGCTACGCAAGGTGCCTTGTGGTGTTTTGGGGGGTTAAGTAACAAGAAAATCAACTTTAAGGAAATCATTACAAGTTGGATAGTGTCAGTGAGCTGTGTTGGTTTTGAGCAGTTCCTTTGCGTACAGTTTTATTTTACTGAAGCTGTGTAACCGTTTCTAAGGGACTCTGTGGTCCAGTTCCAAAAGGGGAAGCCCTGTCCAGGCTGAAGCTACAAGGAGTTGTTCTGTCCATTGCAGCAGTATTGGGATTCAACTCAAAGTCATCTCAGTCTTGATGTGTGAAAACTTTATTTCTGAAAGTCCTAATAGAGGACGGAGATTTTACCGGACTGGCATTTGAAGAATATCAGGCACAGGCTGGTTTTTTGTCCTGTCGCTTTGCTGTGTAAGTTCTGCTGGTAGGATTCAGGTGGTACTGACCGGCAGATTACTCTGTGTGTGGCTTGGAGGCTTTGGAATGGCTGCAAGAATGGCAACGAGGTGGAAGAGCACTCCTGAATTCTCTCCTTTCTGTGAGTGAAGGCACTGGAGCAGCATTCCTCATCCTTGAAGGGCTAATTAATTCTGGGGCAGGGGAAGGAGTGAGTGGAGGGAGGGCAGGTTTTACAGCCATGCCTACATTATTTTGGTCACAGCAACTTTCAATCACGATAAATTTGACATTTCCAAACATTTCTCAATCTCTGCATTTCCCCTGCTGTACTCACGTGCCTGCTGGGAAAGGCTTGTGCCTAGCTTGGTTCAGTTTCCTGCAAACTTGTGGAATCTCATCCAATTTGGATTGCGAGTGGCTCATGGAGCACGGGCTGGGATCCCTGCAGCAGGACACAGCGAGTAGGCTGCTAGGGCAATGTAATACCGTGCTCCACTGCTTGCATGTTGTTTCGCCCTTGTGATCTGCCAGGAGGATAACCTGCACTTGTCTTTATTGCTGTAGATACCGGAAGGAAGGGGAATACATCTCTAACCCGTAGCAGGAAGGGACTACAAAAGTAAGTTCAGATATTCTCTCCGCTCTCTTCAAATAGTACCTCAGAAAAACAGAAGCATGCCTCACATTCCCCAGACTTCGCACCATTCAAAATGATTTCTGTAGTTGATTTTTGATTTGTAGAATGATCTTAAGCAACTTGTTTGAGCTCTGTGGCTGAGACTGTGAACTTACAGGACTAGATAGTTAGGATTCTTGGAGGCAAGGCTTGGAAGCAAATTGTTTTTTCTTTCTTTCCTTGTGGTTATTTTTTAAGATTATTAATGTTATGGACACTACTTGCAAATATTTGCAGCTTCTGGGAATTCGATTCCCTGAAATGTAACATAAAGATCAAAGACAATAATTCCAGGCAAAGTATGGCCACTTAAATTAAGATGGATAACTGCGGAAATCTGTTTTCAATTTTCTGTAGGCATAAGAGTTGGAGTAGATAATTAAAACTTTAGAGACTAGTAGGAGAATGTAGCAAGAAAGATGGTCCTGCTCTTCACACATAATATAAACTGAGGGACAAGACCCACTCTTACCTTTACAATCCATTAGACAAAGCAAAATGCTCATTGTCCCTCATCTGGATTCTTCAATGCCTTTCCTGATGAGTTCTCCTTAGCCAGAAGTGTCATCCTTTTATTTATATGATATTTATTGTTTTGTTTCGTTTAGTCTGCTACATAGCATAATCTAATTTATAATCTGTTTTAAAATCAGAAATCCAGAACTAATTTTGTTTAGAATAAGTTATGTGCTCTGTTGTCAAAGCCTGATGGGTGCATTGCTATGCGTTATGCTATGGACTTCAGAGAGATTCTGTGATTTACACAAGCCTATATTCATCTTACCTAGACAGAAAGAGATGTCTTCATCAGTTCAGCTCTTCAGAGATCAGAAGTACCACGAGCTGAAAAGGCAGTGTATCCAGCAGGGACGGCTCTTCGAAGACCCCGAGTTCCCAGCCTCAGATGAGTCCCTTTTCTACCAGAGAGCTCCGCCAAAGAAAGTTGAATGGAAGCGCCCAAAGGTAAAGGGCACCCCCCTTGTGATGAGGTGCTGTTTGTGCTGTACCACTCCCACTGTCTTCTCTGTGCTAAACCAGTTATCTTGGTCTATTCTCCCTCTCTCTTTCCTTTCATTTCTTGTCTGTGTGTAGTTCAGACATCAACCTCTCTGTCCCATTGCTGTCCAAAACAGAAGTCGTGCCTTACTGTATAAGGTGAGAAGGAAGCATTCTGCACAGCCTAATTGTGTTTTTTTTTTTACTGTTGATGGCTCTCTAATAACAAGCAACAATGGGTGGTGACTCCAACTTCAGTGGCTTTTAATTCAGCCCTCCATTTAATTAAGAATACCTATCAGTAATAGATCAATAAATACAGAAATATATTCTTTCAGAATATTCTTCATTTTTGGGGTCAGTCTATTTACCACTGTAGTTTGCTGGGTTGACAGAAGCATTTCAGAAATACATTCATCTCTTAATTGAAGTTTCTCTTTATTACCTGTCCCTCTGAGGGCCTGGTGTGCAGGCACAGTAATGGCAGTACAAAATCTGAGCTTTAGCTGCTAAACTTAGTGCTCCCACCATGTTGTCATTTTTTTTCTCCTTTTAAGGAAGATATAACCCTTGCAAAAAACATTATAGAAAATGAGATGTTATGAACCGAATACGTCCTCCTGCCTGGGATGCCGGAAGGAAATTAGTTCATGCAACTCAATCATTTGTTCATCATAATAGCTTTCCACATGTTTTCAGAGTAACTTGTATCTTATTAAAATGTATGGGGAAAGGAATCCTTACAGTAGCAAGGG